CACACACATGCACAGTTAGGTGGCACCAATTTTTGACTCAGTAGCTTAAAGTAAGTAAACAAACAAGCAGACAGACAGAAGGACATGACGTTGAGAAGGGGAGGGGGGAATCTGAGAAGTGTTGGATAGCTGGGATATGATCAAAATGCATTGTATGTATGTGTGAAATTCTCAAAGAATACAATAAGGTGGACCATGCTAGAGGAAGACACACAATATCAACCTCTGGCTTGCATGTACAGGCACACGTCAGTCCATGTAGAAAAAAAAAACAGAAAGTGAAGCAATGGATTTTCAACCATTTACTGCATGTCTGCTCTTCTTCCAGATTTGACATCACTTAACAGTCACTTCTCGCATTGGCCTTAACAATTTCTTGGTTGTCGGATCACTGGGTTCAGGTGCTGCCACATTGCCTTTTCCAAACTCCCAGGAACCCACAAGGATGACCCCAGCTAAGACTCCTAGCAATAGTGGAGAGGGTGCCTGAACTGGCCTTCTCCTGTAATCAGATTGGTAACTACCCTAATTGTCATCATTGTGGAAGCAGATGCAGAGATCCACAACCAAGCCCTGGGCCGAGCTCTGGCAGTTTGGTTCAAGAGAGGGAGTAGGGGGTTATATGAGCAAGGAGGCTCAAGATCATGAGGGGGAAACCCACAGAGACAGTTGGCCTGAGCTTTTGGGAGCTCACAGACTCTGGAGCAACAGTTAGGGAGTCAGCCTGGAGCCATCCTAGGCCCTCTGCCTGTGGGTTACAGTTGTGTAGCTTGGTCATTTGTGGGACTCCTAGCAGTGGGACCAGGACACGTCCTTCACATATGAACTGCTTCTTTGCCTATGGTGGGATGCCTTGCCCAACCTTAATGCAGGGGAAGGAGCTTGGCTCTATCTCAACTTGATACACGACGCTCCGTTGACTCCCATGGGAAGACTTCACCTTCTGAATGGAGACAGAAGAGGAGTGGTTGGGAGGGGGTTGAAGGGAAGTTGTGGGAGGGAGCGGGAGGAGTGAAGGGAGGGTATGTAAAATAAATAGACAAATTAAAAAAAAGCATACCTAAAAACTACTATAGTTGTTACCTGAACTGCCGTAACTGTTGACTGAAAAAAAAATAATGAATTTAAAAATAAATTACATAAAATAAGAACTAAACAAGATTTCTTGGAAGGGGTTGTTTATTCCTACTTGACTGGCATTTTGAACTTAGGTTATTTCCTATGAATTTCAATTTATCAATTTAATCAGAACATAATAGATAAGTTTCTAAACACACTTGCACGTTGTATTTTCTCCACTAGATGTCTCCAGAGAAATACAAAGTAGAAGGTGCTGATACAAAATACATTTGGTAGTAATGTACAAACTCATCTAATTCAGTGAGGGTGAAGTTTACATGGCTGGCTATTTAATAGGAGAGTGAATCCACCACGTAAAGGGCTTTCAAAGGCAGAGTCTAAGGAGGCAGGCAAGGAGACAGCACCCCATTCCCCATCATCCCCAAAGGCTTCTGCCCAACATAGTCAGCAGTCAAGAGACCATGATTCTTTCTTTGGTGTGCAGTGAGCCCTGAAGCCCTGTGTCACAACAGACTGTGTTTGGAGGCTCTGGTGGAAATCCATGAAAATACTACTAAAAAGAAGGCTTTAGGAGCCCCACTTCGCATAGCCAGCCTTTGCAATGTGTTATTATGAATAACCAAGCCTATAGCTTGTCTTCTTAACTTCTCCAGACTGACCACTGATGTTCAATTTTATTTCACTTATATACATATTTTAAAGATGGGAAATCAATACAAGATTCTTACTTAATTTAATTTCTTTCAACTTAATAATTTTAAAGAAAGATTTTGGTCTTCTCAAAGAACCCAAAGACCCCAGAGTCTCGCCCAGCATTTCCCTTTGCAGGAATTAGACATTAGACATTAGACATTAGACATTGTCCAGGCATTAGACAAGGCTAGCAGTCCCGTAGCCTAGGTGCCTAAGTGCTGAGGGTGGAGCTTTCCCTAACAAGGTGCAAGATTAACTTCAAGTTTGGGCTAAACTTTAAGTGTGGGTTGTGCTGTGTGATCTACACGCAAGCCACTTGAAGCTCAAGTGTCATGACAACCCATGAACCATATCATACCGTTGATATGCACACGATACAAGCGAGACCGTGGACAGAGCGCTCTGGGTTTGAACACGCGGGTTTACAGAGAGCTGAGTCCATGAGGAGTCCCCGGAGGTGCAGGAGTTTGAGGATGGTTACTCACTGGTGAATAAGCATGGCAGTGTGATGACCTCATGGTCTCCGGAGGCTAGATCACAGAGAACTGCCTATAAATCTGCTTCCCAGGCCTAGAGACAAGTGGCCCTGTCTCTCAGAGACACTATCGCTCTTCAGTTACATAATAAACCATTCTTTCTCACTAATGACTTAGATCCCTGGGTCAGACTTTGCATCCCTGGAAAGTCAGACTTCATTTTCCTGACTTCCGTCATCTTCCCGACTGCTAGGAACATTGCAAGGTCCACTAGGGTCAGGGTCCTGTCGTGGAGCAGAAGAGAAAGGGCCCTGTGTGGAGAGTGTGGCATCTAATGAGAACCCCGGAACAGAATGTGTCCCTCCACAGATTTTTTTTTTTCCCAGTCTTTTCCACAACGTGAATCAACTTCTGTCCTCAGATTTCGAATCACCGCCCTCTCCCCTCACCCTTCCTTGAACTGTCTGTCAGCTGCGGCTCAGAATCCCGTCTTTAGCCTTGGACTTTCTCCTGCTAATTAAATGCAGCATCACTTTTCTGGCCTGGCCTCAGTTTCGCTCTCCTTGTTCTTTGGATTTGCTGGTGGGTTGTGTGTCTTCTGGATCTCATTTGCGAGACCCTCCCTGATGTCATCGCTGATCCGAATCGTGACTATCTGAGGAGGGCTGGCCTTTGTTGACCTCCGTGGGAGTTTTGTCAGTCTCAAACATGGTGCTCGGGGTGGAAAGATTTTAGATTTCTATTATTGGAAACTATAAAAAGGGCTTCAGAACGCCTTTTGTTATATGAGAATATGCTCTGCCTTGTGCAAAGAATTTAAACCTGTATTGTTTGTATATGGCACAGTAACCTCTTAAATGTCACCAAATCTTTCTAATCACCAGTTGATTACTATTATACAGACCTTATATGTATGAGATAGGTCTGTCTATTCATGAAGCGGTTTTCAACAGCCCTCCCTCTGTACAATCTAAGAGGAACGAAAAGCTATCGTAAAAGCGAACAAGACAAAAAGCATATAAAGTTAGAACCATTTCATTTCAATTAGTTTAAATAAAAGATCAGTGGTATTCATCACACAAGTATTCTGGAAGGAACGCAGTTGAGTTTTCACGATGCCTTCTCTCCAAGCTCTCCCCGGATTGTTTCATGCACTTTCAACCCTTTAATACCAAGATTTCAGAAGTGACAGAGGCCTCTGACTCACGCTCAAACTGTGCTGCTCGATCATGTCCCTCATAAATCAGCCACTTGTCGCAGAACACTCCAAGGCGATTCCCGCAGGGGGCCTACGCATCTCTCTCTAGATAAGGAATTCTCTCTGGCCTAATGCGCATTCATTCCCCTTAAACTTTTCCAGCTGGAAAACATAAAGAGTGTATATCTTGCTCGTGGGGAAACAATACTGATATTCGCAACAACACAGCACAGGAGGCACTGTGCATGCATTCAGAGATTACTGGTCGTTTTCATTCCCAGCCTAATGGCCCTTCTGGTCCTCTGGCTTCTTCATCAAAAGCATCCTCCACATCTGACACAGCCCTCCTGTGTGAAGAGGTTAAAAAAAAAAAAAAAAGCGCCTTCCCTCAGCTGGGGATGTCGAAGCCCAACGCCAAGAGAGTTCAGTTGTTCTTTCAAAATTCTATTGGGATCTCACCAAGGCCAGCTGGCCTAGGTCTGAAAAAGCATGGGATAAATCCAGACTAGCTGAACATAGCGGACAATGAGGAATACTGAGAATTCAAGAACAATTGCAGTGGGTTTTTGATCCTACTGCATGTACTGGCTTTGTGGGAGCCTAGGCAGTTTGAATGCTCACCTTACGAGACCTGGATAGAGGTGGGCAGTCCTTGGGCTTCCCACAGGTCAGGGAACCCTGATTGCTCTTCGAGCAGATGAGGGGGGGGGACTTGATCGGGGGAGGGGGAGGGAAATGGGAAGCGGTTGTGGGGACGAGGCAGAAATCCTTAATAAATAAATAAATTAAAAAAAATCGCAAGGATAGACTTGGCAGCAGCCCTGTTTCTTAATATGCATTTAATTACCACATTACTTCTGGGTTAGTAATACTTGCTTCCAGGGCTTATCAGGATATGCAGCCTGTGTGTAATAAAAAAGCAATAAAAAGCAAAATTTTATTATATTATATACATACATAGATGTGTGTGTGTGTGTGTGTGTGTGTTTCAAAAGTTAAGGATACTCTCCCAAAGTAGATCTTTGTTAATTAACTCTTTATGTTTATTGAGAAGTGAAATGACATAGTCCAAATTTTATAGGTGTGCAAGGAACGTGCATATTAACTGTAGAAACCATACTTTATATGTATTGTAAATCTAACCAGCATTTGTGTTAAATCCCCTTTGTGATGTCTTTTCTGGTGAAAAATAACCTCAGTGTTCTGTTGTGGAATGGTTGTGATAAGATCACACCAGCAAAGCAACCGAGCTCAGAGACGCCGAGTGAAAGCGCCAGACGGCAGAGTTCCCCACTCCCAATGCCGATCCGGCTGTGTTCATAAACAAAACCTATAGAGACGAAAGCCAGGCATTCTGTGAAAGCCAATAGAAGTTCCGTAAGCTCAGAACCCAGTAGGCTTTCACTGGCAGCCCGGAGCGGTTGGTGCTTCTGGAAAGCATCTGGAAGTCTCAGGTTGCTCCAGCGCCCCCTCCCACAGCCCCATGCTCCCTCCCACCGCCCAGAGGTATATAAACTCAGCTCTGCAGAGCCCAGGCCAGTTCTCTTCCTGGACGGAGCTCAGGGCTGAAGATGATTCCTCTCCTGTCCTTATTGGCTCTGCTGCTGCTGCTGTGTGATCTCAGCCCGGCAAACGCCAACAATTACTATGACAAGGTCCTGGCTCACAGCCGCATCAGGGGTCGAGATCAGGGGTGAGTCCCTGGCTTCTTTTAGTTTATTTTTCCACTTAGCCTTTTCTAGAAATATGTATGAAGTTCTTTATAAATGTGCCTCAGGGTGGTTGTTGGGCTTTTGTTGCTGTTTTACTTATTGCAAGGTGACAGGAGAAGGAGAAATGAGTATTCCTGCAAAAGTGTGTGTGTGTGTACGTATGTATGTGTGTATATATATATATATATATATAGCTACTACAACATATATGTCTTAAATGCATAAGAATTACTGTCAGCATAATTATTATTACTTTATGTGGATTACTAATTTTAATGTAATTAACAAAATACAATAGGCTAATCCTTTATCATTTGGTTCACTTGGGTTTTTATTTCCTTCTGAAACTGCAGAACATGGCTTTCAAAATCAAAGAGTCTTCTGTTAGATGGTGTCATGTTAAAGGCTTTGAAATACCTCACGGATCTCAGCACAAATTTTACTTGATTTATATATGAAAATTAAACTCTGATCTGAATAATTAGTTCTCCGAATTCTTTGAAGTATTTTTATCTTTTAGGAGAAATGTAGGATTTTAAAAGTTATGAGAAACAACTTAGCAACTTAAGCAAACATCTGCACTTTTTACATGTGTCTCTTGGCGTCGCTCCCAAGTCTTAGAGGGTTTTCTTAATGTTCAGAGCACTCCCCCCACAGTGGGGCAGGATTGCCAGCCCTTTAAGAGAAAGCAGACTTGAAATTGCAATAGAGAAACATGTTTATTTGTCCTCGTCAAAGAAACAAGCTTCCTTTCTGTAAAGGCATTGCTCCAAACTTACTTTGGACACTAATCTGCTTCCCTAAAGTACCAAGGGGACCACAGAGCAGAGTAAGTAAGAAGGTGGGTGTCCTTGGCTGTCAGTCTCCCACTGTTCAGGTGAACCCTAAAGCCTCCCATCCTCCAATGAACGCATGCTCAGTTTAAAAACAAGTGTGTGTGGAAAGGTCACTATTAACATTAGTGTGTACATAAATCCAAACTTGGCTAAATAAAATTCTGTGTGAATATTTCTATCTGGTTAACTTTTTAAAATGCTGATATTGTTCTCAAATATACAATGCATCTTCCCTCCTTTACCCCCTCTCTTCCCCTTCCTCCTCCCTTTCTTCTTTCCTCCCTCCTCCTCCCCCATTCCTCTTCCCCTCCCTCCCTCCCTATCTCCCTTAGACTTTTGCGTTTCCTGAGACTCAGTAGGACTGATGCAGGAGTTAGATTGGCACAAAGTTAAAAATCCCATCTTGGAATGTCAAGTCCTAACCTCTCTCTTTAGCCTCCTGACCTGAAACTGTGAAGAGATGGTAGCCATGCGGATTAACTCTTTTTGCTTCCCCTTTCCTTCCCAGCCCCAATGTCTGTGCCCTCCAGCAGATTCTGGGCACCAAAAAGAAGTACTTCAGCTCATGTAAGAACTGGTACCAAGGTGCCATCTGCGGGAAGAAAACGTGAGTCTCACTCTTTTCTTCATTGACAGTTTCATGATGAGCAGGGATTTCACTAGCCTCTTCGTGGGCACACGACCCAGTCTGAAAATCCTGTCCAGTCTCCTGAGTGTTTAAAGAGAGGCTCATCTGCACAGACAGAGAAACTGCTCTCATCTCTCTTGTTCCAGGAGTGGATTTCTCTCCAAGCCCATCAGCTGGCGGGGGAGGGGCCAAAGCCAGCCCCAGGCCAGCAAGATATGGCCTGAATCAGTAGAACAAACATGGTTTCTACTCCGTTTGCCCTCCTTGTTGTTTGGTCTTCCTTTGTCTTAAGAGAGTCAGTAAAAGTCTGTGTTTCATTTGCCCTTCTCACATCTACACACACACACACACACACACACACACACACACACAAGATCAGGGAGAACAAATTGATCTGAAACATAAGAATTTAAAATCCCCAATCAATGTTTCTCCAGTCATCTAGACGTTATGGAAAAGGTTCTACATCAGCCCCGAATTTTCTCTGAAGCATAAAGTAAGAAATGAATTGCATTTTCCACTTCTTCGTAAACATTGATGCCTTTCACACACTGCCTTGTTCCCTGGGGGACCGTGAAGGTGGCAGCAGAAGTCCATTACTCTATTGAACATCCCAGTGGCTAACGGGATAATTTCTTTTAGCTTAGTGATCCAACTATGGCTTAGTTGTATCTTTGGCTGATCAACTTAAAGCTAGAAAGCATTATTGCCTATGTATTAGATAACCTTATCGATTTATTTGACCGTCATCATTGGTAGGAAAACTAAAATCCCTGGATCTATAAAGGTTAGGAATCACTTAATGCCAGCTCATTATTTTACAAGGAGGGCGCTGTCTCCGAAGTGGGGGCAGTTTAGTAAACCAGACAGGGTGGCCATGTCTTTCCAGTGATGAAAACCATGGCAAGGGCTTCTCACCCCATCAGCCTGTGCTGCATCCTCTCAGCGGTAGTCTTGAGGGCAGCAGGTTCTGATGATCTGCTCTCATGCCATGATGAACTTCAGGGACCCACCAAAGAGTAGAAACATTGGTCCACAACTTATTTCAGCCAGGCGTGGTAGCTCATGTCTATAACCTCAGCACCCAGAAAGCCAAGGCAGGAAAACGACCCCAAATTCTAGGACAACTTGAGCTTCAAAATGATACTCAAAATTAATGTAAACAAATATATATATATATATATATATATATATATATATATATATATATATTTCTAGCCTTGGGCTACTGGTCCAAACACTCAACACAAAACTATTGAATCTGGGGAAGTCAGTGATCTTCCCACGCAGAGTATGAGGGAAAATGTTTCTATGATCTTCCTGGAAATTAAGATAGTCTTATTTCCACTATGTAATTATAGTAGAGATGCCAAAGTTGTCACGCAACAAAAGACTCTTGTTTTCCATTAAACAAAAGTTCTGCTTGTAGCCAGACATTTTACCAAAGCTGTAACAATGTCCCCTTAGCAAAATTTCCTCCAGGATCTTCCATTTCAAATCAGATTTACATCTCTTCGCTGAAATAAATGTAAATGCTAGTCTTGAATAACCAAAGAAACCAGTACTGTGGATAGGGAGGAAGCCTGGCTTGTCCTCCCTTCCCTTCTGCTCAAGTTGCCAGCGTCTTCTGGGTTCTGGCAGCTTTCAACTTGGCTTCTGGTTAAAGAGCTGCTTTGGGAGTTTACCGGAAGGAACAGACCTGGCCTCAGGAAAAGCACAAGCATCCCTGGGCCTTAGCTTAAGGTGTTGTCTAGAATAATGGAGCATCCATTTCATAAAGCATTGTGCAGGCTCCCTGTGTGATGCCAGTGGTGTTTACAGCTGGTTTTCAGTGATGTTTCTGTGACTGCTCAGATAGTGAGGAACTATCTAAGCTGCGCAGAGCAAGGACTGATCCTTCTTCTTGCTTTCTTCTACTTCTTGCTCACACAGGAAAATGGATTTTTGTGTAGCATACATGGTCTCTGGAATCAAAATGCTTTAGTTGTATTGGAAGTGTTAACTCAGTTAAACACATTGTCCACTTATCCGTTGAAATCACGGACCACTGTGTTACAAGCTCACCTCTCTGCTGCATGCCTTCCCTACTTTAGAGCTGAGCCTCAGATTATATGAGCGTGTCATTATTATTATACTAGTGTGTCATTACCTTTGTCTTACAATGACATGTCCTGTTCTCATTTATCCTCTAGCCTCTAGATTAACTATAGCTAGACATACCTCATCTTATTACTTATAATGTGCATACATCAAATTCATGAGGACATTTTATTAATTCCTCCATAGTCTATTTATTTCCGTGGAGACCTGTGTAAGTAAAATTGTCACCAAGGGGAAAATTAAGATTTGTATTAAGGTCAAATGAAGTTTCCCTGTTCCAGGTGCAACCAACTCTTGAAACTACAGAGAAAGTTAAACTAGAATAGGAAAATTTTTAACTTGTAAATCATAGTTAAATTAATAATAATATTATTAAGTAATTAACTAGTAAAAACTACTGACAATTTAAAACCTAAGTAACTGTGTCTTAGTCAGAAATGCAGTTCACTGGTTGACTGGTTGCCTTAAATGCACAAAGCCCTGGGTTCAATCCCCAACACCACATAAAACCATTGGCTTTCATCCTAGCATTTATGGGATGAACTCAAGAGGATCAGTTTGGAGACATCCTCAACTTCAGAGGGAATTCAAAACCAACTAGGGTGTGGGAGATACTATCTTATGGGGGGGAAAATGAAACAATAAGGCAAGAGAGGCTCAAAATGAGTAAAATGTGATCCAAGTATATCGTGTGTGTATATATATATATATTATATAATATATATTATAAAAACATCAAAAAATATTTTATTTTGTATAATTAATCCATGCCAATAATTTCACATGAGATAGGATTATATGAATTAGAATGGGTTAATGTATTTCTATTGTTTCAAGGTAGCATATCCCAATGAGTATTCTTTTTCTACACATACCTAAAGAAGTTATTCTAAAACCACTCTTTTGAGATTCACAGCCATTTGTGTTACCACTGCTCTTCCCATGCTAAAATGTTGGGAAGACTGAATTCTAATATATCAAGTGGCTTGTTTAAGGATATCTGTCTACTGCACAGTGAGCCTGCTTAATAAACTGTCCTTCAGGATAAAGATGCAGGAATCTTCCTCCAATACCATGAGGGTGCAAAGGAAAATTCAACTTACAAAAATGTCTGTTATCTAAAGGGCAGGAACAAAAGCTGGCTTCCACAGTCTTAGCAAACCATGGGCATAAGTGTTATGTTCTATTGGGTTTATGTAAAGGTGCACTTTTTGCACTTTCCTGGTTTAATATTGAGACTTTTTTCTTCATCCATGCAGCACTGTGTTATATGAATGCTGTCCTGGCTATATGAGAATGGAAGGGATGAAAGGCTGCCCAGCAGGTAAGATCTACATTTCAAGACTAACTGGGGAACATTTCCTTCGTGAGGAATGAGGTAGACAGCTTGTGGGGAAGCCAATATTGTGTGCGTGTGTGGGTGTACAGGTGTGTGCATACGTATACTTAGCAAATCATAAATCCAAGCAAATTCTCCATGTTTTTGTGTTAATCTCATGCTTACCTACCCTAATGCTGAAATATTAGACCTCTCTTCTCATTAGCACTGGAAGCTGATTGCTCTAGACACTAAATGAGAAGGAGCTCTGCTTCCCCTCCACCTAAGTCCCCATCTTTGAACTTGTTAAGAAGCATGGTGCCTACTTTAAGAAGGCAACATCTACCGTTGACCAGATCTGGGCTTGTAATGGCCATTGCTCTGAAATGTGCTCACTTTGAGATGTGGTTGCCCATAATTTTGCCAACAAAAAAGAAGTCGTTTTCATTTCCTCTGGATATGCATTGCCAATCATCACCCTTCCCCAGGTTCCTGTATCGCAATAGAATGGTCTCCTCCTGGAGCACAGGTCCTCCAGGCCTCGAAGTGGGTGTAGACTTCAGAGCGCTGACTCTGACGGATGCCAATCCATGGGCAGTCCCTGGTATAATACTGTGTTCAGAATGAGATGCCAGGCTGATGTCTCCAAAGCACTCAGGTCTGAGCAGCTGAGAGACCATCAAGAGCCTTACTTGCTGAGACCTGGTGTTTGATTAATGCTGTTGGTGACGATGTCCTGTGACTAACTCGTATCACATCTGCAACCAGTTATGTTACAGGTTTTCCCAAATGAAACTGGGGAGTCAAGTTTGGTGTGGGATGTGTTTTGTTCAAATCAAGGCATGGGCTTGCCATGAAACGTTAACCTTTTTCACTTTTACCCACTTTTGTCATATTGAGAGTTCTTTTGCCAACTTTATGATTTAATTTAATGATTGTCTTGGGGAATTCACTAAAGTAGTCATTTACTTTATGACTATGTCCAAGTGACACCGATTTTCAAATCAATGAGGTCAGGAAAGCAAGTGATGCACAGACAGCTAGAAACACCTTTTCAGGTTGATATTGAGACCAGAGAACCTTCTAAAAGTATTAGACAGATTTTTCTTAAATTAAAATGGAGAGAACTGTGTCCATCTATTGCCTTAGTGACCAAGAATCCTAAAAATTATAGATGTAAACATAGCTCACTCTTTGGAGATTCAGCACCGCAGCGTGTGTTATCCTTGCTAGTCTCAATGAGTGGCAAGGAGAAAGCAGCTTGTCTTTAGGTAAAATAATCAGATATGTTTTCCGGAAATTCTGATTGAACTATTAGTGATGTGATAGGATTTACTGAATGTTACTTCAGATTGATCTTTGAAAACTCACTTCTTTAACACCAAGAATCTAAGAAATAAGAGTTTGAGTGATCTGCTATTATATAATGCACTCGAAATGCAACTTTTGTCTAAAGTGGGTGATACATGGGGTGTTATTGCTTAAATTGATTAGTTCAGTATATTGGGGGATAGGGCAAAGCTTGAATGATTGCAAAAACATTCTGGAGATCAAGCACTAAGCATTTGTTCATTTTTTGTTGTTTCAGTGATGCCTATTGACCATGTTTATGGCACGCTGGGCATTGTGGGAGCCACTACCACTCAGCATTATTCCGATGTCTCAAAACTGAGAGAAGAGATTGAAGGAAAGGGGTCGTACACCTACTTCGCACCGAGTAATGAGGCTTGGGAAAACCTGGATTCAGTAATTAACCTTTTTTGTTATCTGAAACATTTATTGTAGAATACAGCCATTTTCATTTTAGTTGGTCAACTTATATATAAACACGAGAACATGCTGTATCTTTCTATCATACATATGTGAGAATATAGAAAGACAAGTTATTGGGCATGGCGTATGCTCACACTGCCATAGTGAGGCTCCCCAGGAGATAATGTTTTTAAAGGGAAAAAGAATGAGCTAAAAGAGTATTTATTATTATTATATTTTATTTCTCTCCCTCTCATCTCCTTGGGTATGAGAAAATACATGTAATTTCAGATAACATATCCGTTAGAAAGGTAAGTCAAAAGCCTAACATTATTTTAAAAATCTACTCTAAGCTATATTACATTACATAGCAATATTTTATTATGTTTATAAATGACATAGTTATAGCCGAAAGAAAAGCTATGTAAATAGTGTATACTTGTTACTAGATGTATAACTACATGCCATATAGATTGCTATTCCTAAGCTACCAGAATAGTAAATATGTAGGGATAGTTAAACCAAGTGTTATAAACAATATTTGATTTTGTGAACAGACTAACTTAGGACAGATTAATTCATAAAATATTCCTCAATTTCCAATTTTATACAACTAGCGGAAAAACACATTTCTACTTCCAGCTCCTGTGGAGATGAACTGAAAATCCTACAGGGACTCAATGCAGCATCTCAGGCAGAGCTGTTACTGCTGAGTCAGGGGCTCTTGTCTTTCCCTACACCTTAGCACACTCCCTGTTCCTCTGAGCACACCCTATGGGTTAGTGCTGAGTCACGTTCTTGGCTTCCCTACACCTCAGTTCCCTCCTGATTCCTTTCCATCACACCTGGGCTTCCTCACCTTAGCAGCAGCAGGTTAGATATTTTCTCCTGGAAATGCATTCAGTCCTTTGCCTACACCTTGACGATTTTGCCTCTCACTCCAGGGTGCACAGCCATAAAATCTGTAGGGTTTGTACTGATTTCCCTTGCGACCCCAGCAATTCTAATCTCCATATAAATATTTCCTTTCCAAAGATGATGTGGCTACGTAAATAAAGGATACCAAAAATGTCGGTCATTTCTTATCTCCATAAATGCCTGCGTTGCTCTAACTCTTTCTCCCCTAATAGGCAGAATCAATGTCAACATTCAGACTTAAAAACTATAAGTGACCCTGGCTCTCCCATCTCAATTCCTTAAACATGACCTAATCAGAAGATTCTCATGTTTGTCTGTGGTAATTCTCCTTGTGCTTTTGCTCCTGAATAATCTTACTCCTTGATTGGCTTTCCAGAAGCCAAGCCCAATACACACACACGTACACACACACACACACACATGCACAGGCAGACAGGAATACATGCATGCACACACGCACATGCATACAGACACGCACACACACACACATGCATATAGACACACATGCACGTGCACACACACACACAGATAATAGTTTTTTAAAGGGGAGAACTTCAGTAGTAAACTAAAACAAATGAGCTTTTATTGAATTTCTCCTAGGACATTCGCAGGGGACTGGAGAACAATGTCAATGTCGAGTTGCTGAATGCTTTACACAGCCACATGGTTAACAAGAGAATGTTAACCAAGGACCTGAAGCACGGCATGGTGATTCCGTCAATGTACAACAATCTGGGCCTTTTCATTAACCACTATCCCAACGGGGTAAGTCTCATTCATCAACTTCACGTTTCTAAGGAGTGTTTTCCCTAAATCTATCTGTTCCCTCGTTAGGACCTTCACAGACATGATAGTGTTTGTCACTAGAATGTAAGTACTTGCATTAATTAAAAGAAAACAACTTGACCTTGTGAAATGTCAATCCAATTGGCTCCTCCTAAGGACTGAACGGTTGGCAGCTGGGAGTCACCGTGCTGATTGAGAGTCTTGAGTTTTTGAGTTAGTTTGACTATGGCAAACTGTCATCTCAAGGTTTTTATCAACATTCAAATTTCCAGAGTAAAAAAAAATCCCATTGATGAGGCAAGGCTACTTATTGTACAGTAGGCCGCATAACAGTCTTGCAATGGGAATTTTTATTCCTTTCTCAGAACTTATTTCAGAGCTAATTAGAATTATTTACAGGTTTTGACCATCATTAGAAATAGTATAGAACTATAGGAAAGAATAAAAATAAAATCAATAACTCAAATGAAGGAAATTATTGGCCTTGGATGTCCAGAAATGCTTTGAATTGATTGGGGTTCTGAACAGTTCTGCTTTCTGTTTGATAATACTCAGGTCTTAATCTACAGCTACGGCCCTCTGCATGTAGGGTCTGGATGCTATACCTACGAGGTCCCCAGATTATGCGCTTGGCACGTAGACACTTTACACCATACTCGCTAGTGCATGGGGGTGCTGAAATCGCCCTGGTGCCTTAGCGATCAGCGCTGGATCTGATTTTTTGTTTTTCGAATGACTGCAGGTTGTCACTGTGAACTGTGCCAGAGTCATCCACGGGAACCAGATTGCCACGAATGGAGTGGTCCACGTCATTGATCGTGTCCTGACGCAAATTGGTACCTCCATCCAAGACTTCCTTGATGCGGAAGACGACCTTTCATCGTTCAGAGTAAGAACCGGGCAGGTTCCCCTGATTTGCTGAAAGAGAAGGAAGGTTCCTTTTCTGGCAACATCTGTAGACTGCAAAAGTGCTAGTCAACAAATCTGGCAAAGTACAACAATATATTCCATTAAATAACCATTTCCACTTCATAAAGGAGATACCATCCCATATATAGTAATAATACATGTTTGGATATGATGGTTAATATTCTTGTGTGAGTACAGTGTTTGGGGTCTATAGAACACGTTGATTCAGTGACTGAACATGTTGCTGGATTTTGTTGCAGTCAGAGAAATATTGGCAGACTTTCCTTTCTAGCCAATGGTTTGAAAAAAACTGGGGAAGACTTCGTCGGTTGGACCAAAAAGTAATAGTTTAACAATCTAACATGCAGAAATGTCTCTGGTGAGGCTGTCACTTCCCTCCTGATATCCCAGGCCATTTGTGTTTCAGGCTGCTGCCATCACCTCCGACCTATTGGAGACCCTTGGAAGAGATGGTCACTTCACACTCTTTGCGCCCACCAATGAAGCATTTGAGAAACTCCCACGGGGAGTCCTAGAAAGGATCATGGGAGACAAAGTGGCTTCTGAAGGTAGGAAAATGTCTTCCTCTCATGGAGACCTAGGATGGAGGCCATGGGAAAAGAGCAGTTATGGCCGATAATGGCAGTTGTGATAGGAAAGACAAAAGTGTTTAACATGAGGTGCTCTAGAAAACATCATTTAAAAGATGGAAAAAAATACCCAAGTATCATTCTTGATCAAAACAGCTGTAAGGTTGCAGCCTTTCATGCTGTTTCCGAGCAAACAAGTTACAGATGTTGTGGAAGGTTAACAAGGGCTGGAGAGATGGCTCAGCAGTTAGGAGCTCTGGCTTCCCTGGAGGAGGAACTGCCATCAATTCCCGGGACCCCACGATTCCAGAGGACATGATTTCCTCTTCTGACCTCTGTAGGCCCCAGGCATGCATGTGGTGCATGAGCATACATGTAGGCAAACACTCATGCTAATAAGACAAAATAAATAGATCTTTTTAAAAATGAAAAAGATAGATTAATCAAGTGTGGCAGAGTAATATATTGGCCTTGATTTTAATATGGAACGATATGATACAATACTTTCGACTCCAAATATATGCGGCAAGTTCTAACTGAGCAGAGAAAGTTATATGGTTCCCCTTGGCCAGCACACATTGCTTCACAAATGTATTTGAGTCCTTTCTTGTCTCCCTTTCAACAGCCAGATAGGTTTTGTGTTGTGCTAACTACACTATACTCAGTCTCCATATATATTTGTTCAAATACAGCTGACACACTTTGAGATTGTAAGTCTCGATATCATAGCCTTAGGAGGCGACTCCTTCCAGATGCTCTTCTGGATTTTCTAGGTGTTGTTTGGAGGGAATGGCTTGTCTTGCCCTCAGGTTCTCAAACTAGTTTGCCAATCATGAATGATCTTTTGGAAGGCGAATGCAGCATTCTGTTTGAGTATTTTCCAACAGTCATGGCTAACAGATAACTTCAGAAACTGTCTAAAAGACTTTTCTTTTTCTCTTTCTCTTTTTTTTTGTTTTCCTGGTGCTGCAAAAAATAATTTTGGAAGCTCGTATTATCTTCTCCTCCTTTTTAATAAGCTAATCTGTTCCCACTGAAGCAATGACTTAAAACACCCACTTTCCTAGAGACTGTATAGTTAAGACTTTAGAATTTCAAGTCTTAATCTGTGTCATATACCCTTGGTGGATGCATAATGTAAGGATCAAATGTTGTTTCCCTTGACCAGAAGTTGACTGCCCTTCCCCCTTCTCTCCCCAGCTCTCTTGAAGTATCATATCCTAAACACTGTGCAGTGTTCTGAGGCTATCACAGGAGGAGCTGTGTTTGAAACCATGGAAGGAAACACGGTTGAGATAGGCTGTGAAGGGGATAGCATCTCCGTCAATGGAATCAAGATGGTGAACAAGAAAGACATTGTGACAAAGAATGGTGTCATCCACCTGATTGACGAAGTCCTCATTCCTGATTCCGGTGAGCAAGGCCTCCCATCCACCTCCTCGTTACTCACCAATTAAGGTGTTTGGAGAGTAAGTCCATGAAGAGCTAGTGAGAGGTCTATAAAAGTACACCCAGCAAAGTGGCCGTGTGCTCACGCGTGCCAACTCCAAGGCCTGCGGAGTCATGGGCAGCCCGTGCAGGACGTTGGCCTGGAATCTAGTCTTTATAAAAGGTTTTCATACTGCTAGTGTGTTTCTTGGCAATAAAAAGAGAGATAGTGATGGTAGACTTCTGGTAAAGGAAAGGGTGTGTGACTCAGTGTGGAAAGAGCTGAAAGGTGAGTAATTGGGGATTAAAGAAAACTACACTATAAAGCAATAAAGACAGAGAGAAAAATTCCCTCTAAAGTTATTTGTGCTGATCAAGTCCCTCACTTGGAAGCTAGACTCTTCATACTAAGGCGGCGAAGGATGTTATACTAGATTGGCACTTGAGTAAACAGCTTACAAGGATAGAAAAGAGCCAGGCATTGATTTACGAACCCTGGGATGCAGATCATAACAATGACGACATTGTTGAGATGGCAATGGTTTATTTTACAGCCAAACAAGTCATTGAGCTGGCTGGGAAGCAGCAAACCACTTTCACAGACCTGGTGGCCCAGCTAGGCTTGGCATCCTCTCTGAAGCCAGATGGGGAATATACTTTGTTAGCACCTGTGAACAATGCCTTCTCTGGTAAGTACTGAGCTCTGCTGCTTCTTCCTCCCTGGGGGACCGTGATTATTCTGAATACCAAGTCTTAGATAGTTTAGAAAATATTAATGAGGCTTTTGCAGTCTGGAAGATGCAGGTGTCAAATTATAAACGCATAAAAAAAAAAAAACAAGAGACAGTTGCTTCTGAATCATGAAGGGAAGTACATTTTTCACCTAGGTATTGCTACTCTCTAACAATATTTAGAACACATGCTGAGGTCTGTTCTAGAAACTTACTTCACAGGAAAATAAATAAATTTTGAGGAAAAGTTTAGTGACCAAAAGTCAAACGTGTTAATGGTTTTTAAGTATCAAGTTGCAGTATATGACATTTTTAATTAAAGAAATAAAAATTTCTAGAAATAGTGAATCTCTCTTAGACTAATGCTGTGCGCATGTTTTGGCTCAAAGCCACTGTTGTTCTTTCTGCGGGGTTGGAGGCGGGGTTGGAGAGAAAACACGAGACACACGGCGGTCCCACGTGGGTGAACTTTAATGGAGGGGGTGACGACAGGTGAGGAACGGGGGTGAAGAGACGAAAGGGAAAAGGGGTCTCCCCGTTTTTAAAGGGGGATCCAGGTGCGTCTGGGAGAATGCCCTGCACATGCGTGGCTTTCCATTGAGCTGGGATTTGTAGTTCGGTGGGATGCTGGGAATTGTAGTGCGGCCTTGTCTCCAAAAGGAACAGCCGCCACGTTTTGGAGTCTGTGTTCTCTGACCCCTTGACCAGCAATAAGCATGACCTTACAAATGGCTCACCATAGCCGCCCACGTGACTAATGGACACCTAATTGTCAGGGGAAAAAAGAAAGAAAGAACAAAACAAAGAAAAACCTTGACCACTATAAAGATTTGGATTGTGCCAATGACCATCATGAAAATAAAGTCTCCTATGTAGATGGAGCCATTGTTTGTTCAATAAGAGCTTCGTGGTAATAGTTTAGGGTGACAGGCCAGCTTGTACTAGCAGATGGCCTTGCTGGTCTTGGGTATTTAGCTCATTTTTATGATGTGAGCGAGGGACACACATGAAGAACGTGAGAGATGCCCACTTTCAGGTTTCTCCTCCAGCCGTGTTGCTCATGTACAATAATGTTCCTTCCCCATGAATTTTTTTTCACAGATGACACTCTGAGCATGGATCAGCGTCTCCTTAAGCTAATTCTGCAGAATCACATACTGAAAGTAAAAGTTGGCCTTAGCGATCTCTACAACGGGCAGATACTGGAGACCATCGGAGGCAAACAGCTCCGAGTCTTTGTGTATCGCACGGTAAGTGGGTTGGACCAGAGTCGACTGGGTCTCTACACTGGCTTGAGTGTCACCTGGCATGGGCTGGTCCAAGAGCCACAGGGAATGTTTCTCAGATTTTTGTAAAGCTGATTATAAAATTTAATGCCCATCTGATCAGAAATGAGGACAGCTCGGAGAGAGATGATGAGGAGAGCTTGCCGATGCACTGTGTGTGACAGATAATCAGCCTTTGTTTCCATGAACAAGGGACTATGTTGTGAAATACTCATTTAAATTCCAGAAAATTCCCTATAGAGTAAATTTTTGCCTTGTAGTTTAGCAGATTTCATGCTGAGTCAAACATGCAGGGTATCCCTATTATGGTATCTCCATTCAACCATGGAGTATCATTTGAGTGATTTTCAAGATGAATTTATAAAGGCCCATACAGAGTTCTGGACCCCATGAAATGAATTGGAAGTACTATATCCTGAGTGAAATTTCCTAGAAACATTGACTATCAGTATGGCAATGTAGCCAAAAGGCTATCTGGGGAGGAAAGTATTACCTACAAACTGATGTGGCCCATGGTGGCTTTTCATTAAGGCTTCACAATGGCAAAGCACACATTTTAAATAGTTAAAAAAATCACTTCACTCTCAATTATACATGTACATATATTAAATTACACATATACACACATTGAATCATACATATGCATACAGCAAATTATACACACACACACATTAAATAAGACTTCTGCTTACAGTAAATTGTATATGCACATATATTAAATTAAGCTTATGCATTTATTAGATTTTTAAACTGGAAATAAATTAAGGTCTAGACATTTAAGGCATATGTCTTACTGCCAAGAAAACGTACTAGATGTGAGGATTACAGGAAGTACTGAACTTTGGAATACTTATAGCCAATATTAACATCAAAAGTTACAGAGAAGCTAAACATGAGACAGGACCACGGAAAATAAACGGAAGTAGAATTTTATGTAGTCTGTGTTCTGCTGACAGAATGCACAGGCCTAAGGTATAAGGCAGGTTCGCTAGTGGTAGGAATGGATGAGAAGTCACAGGAAAGTTACAAGACATTCCAAACAAGAAAGAAGCTCTTTTTCCTGGCCCTCATCAGTCTACTGGCCTCTTGGAAGGACTAGCTCAGGTGGAACACAGGAAAGGTATCATGTTTCGTCATTCCCTCGGCCAGGCTATCTGCATTGAGAACTCCTGCATGGTGAGAGGAAGCAAGCAGGGAAGGAATGGTGCCATTCACATATTCCGAGAGATCATCCAACCAGCAGAGAAATCCCTGCACGAGAAACTGAGGCAGGATAAGCGCTTTAGGTAAGTCTCCCAGCTGTACCTGCACAAAAGAACGAGCGCCATTGGAGCTATCCAAAGAAGCATCCAGCTCATAGTATTGCTAACTCCAGTGATGCACTGGCAACACAACCCCAACACCCAAAGCTCAACAAACATCATGGAAGAAGGAAGGAAAGGTTGTAGGAGCCATATCTTTGCTGTGAGACAATAGTGTCTATATATGACAGGGAAGTTCACTCAACAACAGCGTGGCCACCTAAATAAGACCTTCATCGTGACAATGCCAGGTGGCATTGTATGAATGAGGGACATTTCATGAAGCCACACCCCTAGATTGGGAATTACAGGCATCTATGGCTGATGAGAGGGAGAGTCAACTTTGTGCAGTGGGGAGTCACCTAATAGGTTTTCTAACTCTCAACCAGCCCTAAACCTGTGTATATATCAGCAACACTAAAGAGGCTCATCAGACTGTGTGTGTGTGTGTGTGTGTGTGAGAGAGAGAGAGAGAGAGAGAGAGAGAGAGAGAGAGAGAGAGAGAGAATAATTAAGGAACACAAGATCCTGGGTTTGAAGAGTCAGGGGAGGTGGCAACACAGGAGGGGGTGATGAAGAGGGGACAATGATGTAAATACATTCAGGAATGAAATTCTAAAAGAAATCTAAGAAATTAAAGTGAAAAAATACATACAAATGTTTTTAGATGAATACGTGCTTTCAGAGCTATTTGGTCTGTTCCTGGGGATTCAAAGTATGATTTTGTGGGCAGAAAAAAACCCTTAAAGTCTGACTTACTCCTTGAGATTTTTCTTTTAATTGTTTGTTTAAAAATGGTGATATAAATAAAGTAATATCAATAAAGTATCAAATGAAACAAAATTTTATGTCACATAAAATGTGACTTTGATAATGTGATTTTACAAGAAAAACAGAGATGGAGAAATTTATAAATTATTTTAGTCATTTTCCCGTTAGACATTTTACTTTTTAAAGGGACATTGCATTTAACCCCACGAGAATGTGTGAGGTGGTTTCTCAGTTTCCAGACGGCGCGGATTCCACCCTACTCTGTACCGTGCAGTTGAGTGAACCTACATCTGATGCATAGCAAATTAAATGCACATTCTCTGCTCTCAGCATCTTCCTCAGCCTCCTGGAAGCTGCGGATTTGAAAGATCTCCTGACACAGCCCGGAGACTGGACCTTGTTTGCACCAACCAACGATGCCTTCAAGGGGATGACGAACGAAGAGAAGGAGATTCTGATTAGTGAGTAGTGGCGGGTGCCAGATATTCACCCCTCATATTAAGAATCTTGGCTCTTCCTCCAGGTTTTCTGCCCACATTTAAGAAAATAAAAGAAATCCCCCCAACCCACCCCCTGGTTTCCTTAACAAACTTTGATTTCCTTTACCATGGTTGGGACGCGCGGAGAGCCATTTGTTAATGTTTATTCATAAACTGCTCGTTGCCATACCATAATTTATCGAAAGACTCACAATTGAATGGTATAAAAGAGAACTGTCATAGTTTCAAGACTAATTGGCATAGCTTGAGTTGATTGAAATGACTAATATTTTGATAAAGCATTGGCATCTACTCAAAAAATTTTTGACATTGTGAGAAAACAGAGAACTGGGAAAACAGAAACAATGGGGTGTTTTATCCCTTAGTCTTGTATCAAAATGTCAGAAAAGCAGCGTCTTATTAAATCAACACCTATCTTTTCCTGCAGGAGATAAAAATGCTCTTCAAAACATCATTCTTTATCACCTGACCCCAGGAGTTTATATCGGAAAGGGCTTTGAGCCTGGAGTCACTAACATCCTGAAGACCACACAGGGAAGCAAAATCTACCTGAAAGGAGTAAGTTACTACAAGGGATTTACAAAGTGCTTTGTCATTATTAAGTGGTTTCCATATAGTTTCTCCTTAACATCACCCCTTCTTTTGAAAGGTGAATGAGACGCTCCTGGTGAATGAATTGAAGTCCAAAGAATCTGACATCATGACAACAAACGGTGTCATTCATGTCGTAGACAAACTCCTCTACCCAGCAGGTCTGTACTGACTGAATGTACTGATGGATGGGATACCGTTCGACATGAACTGAGTTTTGATCACCCATTCACTTCCTTACCATATCCGTTGAATATTTATCTCCGTAGACATCCCAGTTGGCAATGATCAGCTCTTGGAAATACTGAACAAACTGATAAAATACATCCAAATCAAGGTACAGAACGCTGTTGGATTTTATTTCTAGTATGTTGAGGAGATGTTGTATGGCTAATGTAAAAAACTAGAAGTTAGTATAGCATAGTATTGGTATACCTTTAGTATAATGTAGAAAACATGGAAAATATAGCATAGCCCATATACTTAGCTGCTAACTATTTTATAATCTTAAAATATTTAATAACAAACCTGATAGTTATTATAGAACCTGACCTGACTTCATTTCTACTGAGTGACCTTAGCTGTTTTTATTTTAGCTAGAATTATAGTGTCCCTGGTGTACAATACATTGTATGTTACTAAACATAAACATTTGTTTTTAGTTTGTTCGTGGCAGTACCTTCAAAGAAATCCCCATGACTGTCTACAGTAAGTATATGAAAAGTGTGGGCTACAAATTGGGATGATGTGCAAGCAAAAAAAAGAATATTATCTCTTTGTATGTACAAAGACTGCTGATAATCTGGTATTTAGAATTCCAAATCCTGCAAAACTCATTGTCCTTCAAACGGGGCTTGAGATCTGGAAGAGGCCTCACAGGCTTGGTCTCACCCTCCAATTTCGTATAACTGCTTCTCTCCTAATTGGAAACAAGAAAGATGCATTACCAGAGAGTAAAGACATGCTCTAGAATGAGGGAAAATAAACAAAAAGGGCATACACAAGAACAGACTGCTAGAAGACACTCCAGAGCTATCCGGAAATGTTAACAAGTGGGCACAGGATAGCATCGCAAAGATTGTCACTCATCCTGCCCTGGGCCTAAGCCATGCGCGGGAAGATGTGCAGACAAGCCCTGATTCCTAGGAGATGCTGGTTCAAAAACAACCACATCCAAAACTAGGCAAAGGAACCCCAGTGATTGTTTGTTATCCACTACGCTACCAGATTATCAAGATCAAAGCTCAACTACTAAACAGTGGCAAAAGACGTTCTCTCTCATCGTAAATTCTGCTGTCAATCATCCAATAACTTCTTCATTATGGCCCTCCCATTTCTTTCACTGCAGCTTTTAAAGCTGAGGTTCTTTCCATTTTGTTTTGACTCTACCATAAAACAGCCAAGTATGCTAAGGCATTACTTTACTCACCTTTATTCCGACTAGAAATTTATCCTACTTTCTATCATGAACATTCAGTTATCTACTTATGCACATTCCCCTCAATATTAATGATAGACATGAAAAATATCTGGAGCAAAACAAAATGTCTGCTTCTCTACCTGGTAATACCTCTGCAATCCCGGGGCCGGGCTCTCAGAGACGTCTTAGGGATTTCTTTCCATTGGTATCATGATGATTTAGCATGCTCTAAATTCCAGCCATGGAAAATCACTCCATATAAAAATAGCAGGGTCCTCATGGCCTTCATTCATCAGATATGAGACTCTCCCATGCTATAAATCTTTACAAAAATCTTGTTTATCTTTCCCAATTTATCCATATCAGTTCCACTATGGGCTGCACATGACAACACAATATTTTTGCTTATAATGAACCAAAATGCGTTTATAGTATTACATGAATTACGTTTTCAAAATTATGCAAACCTAGTAACTTGCTAGCCCACGCATGCGCTGTTAGGTAGCCCTGGGTTTACCGCCCTTTGTGGGCTGTTGCACATAGAGGGGCAGGCTCACTGAAGCAAAGACTGCACTTCCTGGTTCATTTGTTACCTTCTCTCTACTATTTCTCCAGTTTTGTTAGTGCTCATTTTTCTTCTCCCCCCAAAATATCACACATTTTACATTTTTATTGGAGAGTTCACTTTGTTATAAGTTGTGAAAACAAGATATTTTATGTAGAGAAGGACAAAAAAAAAATCAGGAAATTTTTAGACCTGTTCAAATGAGTTAGGCCTTCATAAGAGCAAAACTACCAACCAAGTCCAGATTCTGACATTCAGATTCCTCGACACCATGCATCACCTTTAAAAGGGATCAATTATTCCACTTGAACAATAGCAACAGAGACATCCGTGTGCTCCAGGAGAAGAGTCCTATGTGGCAGAACCACCTGACAGATCAAGAAAAACACGGATTTAATACATTGTAGAGTTTTATAATTTGAGTTTTCAAGAGAGAACCTATGATTGGAAAGTAGTTCCCCTAAAAGGCTGAGCACACACCCCGGTTCAGAAGGTCCACACAGCTTAGCCTGTGAGAGCCAGGGTTGAGACTGGTGGGAAGGCACGCTGGGCTACCGACTCTTAGTCACAGTTGTGACGAAATGTCCAGAGGCCTGTAGCTCTGATGAACTGGCACATGCGGCCAACTGGACCACTGAAACCTCACCCAGGAGGTGATAAACTTTCACCACAAAACCTTTGTGTGGAAACCGCCTTCAAACTATCCTAACAAAGCTGAAAATTAAATAGTGACCACGTCCTATTTGTTGCAGAAAGCTCATGACTTCCTGGCTGAAATTTATTCTCCTCTAGAATCGTGAATGATCTTCCGTATTTTCTTCTCTGTGCCAAACGCATGGGAGTACTCCAAGGGTCTTTTTCTTCCCATAGCCTTCTTTTAACTGAGAGAGAATCTGACAATGCAATTTGAGTTATCGTGAGTTGCATGAAATTAATCATGTTTATTTGTCTTCTGTCGCTACGCAGCCAGTTTTCAAGAAACACAATGGAAAGTCAGTACGATAGTGCTGCAGGTCGTAGTGGTAGATTTCTAGGTAGGATGCGTCATTGAGTTAGCGCTTCCCCCCTCTGGGACATAGTCAAGCCACTGGCCTGCAGGATTCAGCATCTGGACACGAGAAGACATTAATGCGCTGTGAACATTTCCGGTGATTGCCTGAAACCTAATCCCATAGCTGATAACGCAGCACCATAGAAAGACCAAAGAGGACAACTTCCTTTGAGTTGTTTCTGTGTAAGCTTCCTTCACGCTCCGCTTTTATTTTCAGCAACTAGAATTATAACCAAAGTCGTGGAACCAAAAATTAAAGTCATTCAAGGCAGTCTTCAGCCTATTACCAAAATTGAAGGTAAAAACCAACGTCCTCCGTGGTTCCTTCCACTCTGAAAGAGTCATGTGATCAATTCATTTCTCTGAATATACCTACAGTCTTTTTGGAACTAACATGCTAAATATCCCTTTACAAACGGCATGCTGTGTAATTGCAGATTGTGGAGTGCAATATGCTTTTAAAGCAAAGTAGATGGTGCATCCCTAATATTTTCAGTACATTTGCTTGTATTTATTTTCATTAAATTGAGGTTGTGTCGACACTAGTACCCAGATAATCACTTCACAAATTTACCTTAAACATTTTTGCTGTAGATTCCTTCAGGAAATATACTTTTTGTAGCTCTTTTTCCAACCAACACACACACACACACAATCTCTTTTATGTCATTGAAAGAAAAATTTTCAAATATATGCAGGCATTTTTTCCCAGTGAGCAACCTAAGAGAGTATAGAAAATGTACATTAACAAAAGCCTTAAAAATTCCAAACAGGCATGATATACATTAAAACTTAGATTGCCAAGACAGAAAAAGAAATAGCATAGTTTAGTGAGTCAAAACCAGGAATCTACACTTTAACTCTGGACATATTTTATATACATATGTATTAAATATATACCTCTCATATTTCAAATGTCACTTTTCTCTCTATATACTATGCTAGCTGATGTCGATCTCTTGGATATTAGCTTGATTTCAAGGCTTTTTATTATCTCTAAGATCAAAACTAAGTACCAGTGTCCTTGTTTTTGCATGTTTCAGCAGTAATTTGCACAAAGAATATACCTAATATCATCTTTCTTCCATTAGAAAGATGAAAACAGTGTTTCCCAAGAGAGGCAGATTATGGGTTTAATTGAATCTTGGGAACACTAATTATTCTTGAATTTGAGTTTGATTTTCAATCTGTGACAAATTTATATATGTCTCTTCCCTTTAAAGTAACCCTGAGTTAAACTCATTGAAAACAAGAGGCTAATTCTCTGCCTGGCTAGCTATGGATCTAACTACAGCTTAGTTAGCCTTTAAAAATCTGAGCTTCGCTTAAAAAAAAAAAAAAAAAAAAAACAGCAACAGCAACAACAACAACAAAAGCCCAGTTACAATCATTTAATTTTCTACCTGTTGATGAGGAGAAATTGAGATTTTAAGTAGAAATTAAATGTTAAAAGTTTTGCTGCAATATGTATTGATAATGTCAATGAAAAATGATCATATGATTTTAGCCAAAGACATAGATTTAAAAAAAAAAAAGAGTCACTAAAATGTCACTCTGATAAACGGCTTCCAAAACTAAAGCCATTCATGTGTGCTGTGTTCCCATTTTCAAGAACTCTTCTCCTTCCCAGCTTCTTCATTCAACTCATGAATCCTTTCAGCCTTTGTCAGCTGGTTTCATGTCATGGTTGCCGCAGTTGGGAGCACCCTGGAGTCAGGCTACTTATGTTCTTCCTCATTATTATCTGGATGCAAATGGGGTCATCTCATCTGTAAATACTCTCTGATATAAAACCGGAAAGCAATACCTACTACTGTGTAGCACAAGTGAAGAAACCAACAGCCCTCTTGGCAACACCCACATTTCCCTGTTCACTACTCTCACTCCCTTCTCAGGGTTTGAACTTCGTGAATTCATTGATGCTTTATGAGTTTTTACTAAATGCATTAGAGTCCAAGACATAATTTTAGAATATCTTTGGCAAAAAGACACCAAACCAAAATTCAGAATGAAGACTAAGTCCACTAAAATTGAGCAAATAGTCCCTGTGCAGGATGTTCTCCCAAGCTATCATCTGAATACACAAAAAAGAAGGGTTTAGTAAAATTCCCTCCTTTGTAGTAATAGTTAATAATCAAAGGTGCTTCCAGAATTTCAATTCGACTTTTCTAAAGAAAAAATCTTTATGCATAGTGCTAACTCATTTTCTTGCCGTGAGTCATTGTATATACTTCCTTTTGAGGATTACCCTTCATGTTAGCCATCCCTAAAGGGCTCACATAAAAAATATCACAGCTTGAAATACTTACGGTTTTCTCTCTCCCATTATTTATTACTTATTACTTAGCTCTGGGTAGTGGTGTGCTTTGATGATTTCTCAGCAAACAAATCAATTTTCTCAAAGATAATCGATTATAGCTCCATTCAGCTGGTGAGAAGTGCAAGTTAAATGTACTGAACGGAATAATTCTCCCTCCTCTATAAAACATCCCTGTTCAACTAATGTAGCAGTAAGCTTTCTAACATTCCAGCTGATTTTCTCTGGGAAATCATTTTGTAAGTCAAATGCAACCAGCCCGCTGTGCATTTGAAGGGCTGTGTAACTTAGTCGCTGTAGCTGTGTATGTACATCTTTCTCTTAGTCAAGGTAAGTACTCAAGTCAGTTTTCCTAGAAAGTCTAAAACACAGCATCTTCAGGGTAAGTATATTAGATTTTTTTAATGTCCAATCATGTGCTTTTAGATAAAAATATAAGGTCATAAGTGATAAAAAAAATTTAAATTAAGTATTCCAGTAAAGATTGGCAGAGGATATCCTATGGCAAAGTGTGATTTAAACCAGTTGTCACCCGAGCAACTCCAATCTGTAATGCCATCTGATTCCCAGAGAAAGCCACATAAAATACTTGGTGTAATCATTCCTTACATGCACTAACACAGATGACAGCGTGCACAGCTTGCTGGTGCAACACTGTCAATGCTGAGGCAGGTGGGTGGGGTGGCAGCGTTAACAGAGGCAGCCGAGGTGTTTGTTCTCTTAAATATATGTCTAACCTAAAGACAACAGGAAATGTTTAAAACCAGTTTCATAAAACCAGAAACACCGAAGTCTGAGCGACAAGAAATGTGGAGACAAACTTATTATTGGGGCAATGTAAGGGCTGCTTTAAGGCACTAACCTGTCCCCTAAAATAATGTCTCAGGGCCTGCCATGACAAAGATCCACATTGAAGGGGAACCTGAATTCAGACTGATTCAAGAGGGAGAGACGGTGACAGAGGTCATCCATGGAGGTATGTCTTGAGCCTTTTCTTCTACCTAGGTGGCATCCTGTGACATTTGAAAAGAGAGTTGGTTTAGAATTGTCCACGAGCTGATTTTCTCTTGATTTTCATTTTTCCCAGGCATTTTTACTAGGTCTGAATTCTTGATAGCTAATCAGGGACATAGTGCAGCTTATTTTTAAGTGGATTCAGTCACAGTTTAACAATGAAGCCCCTGGACCACTTCTTATGAATATTCAAACAGTAACCATGAAGTATAATGATTACGATCATGTAAATACAAAGACATTTTGTTCTCAGGACAGAAGAGAGCTGGTGGTTTCTTTGTGAGACTCTGGTAATATGGGCTGGTGCTGTGGGTTGGTAGGAGAAGACAGCTTCCCCCAAACCTGACGTCTGAGTTCGATCCCTGGGTTCCACATGGTAAAAGGACCAAGCTGTTTTCTGACCTCCATAGGCACACCATAACTTCTCTCTCTCTCTCTCTCTCTCTCTCTCTCTCTCTCTCTCTCTCTCTCCCTAAGACAAAACAAAAATGTAATAAACTTTTCAGGGACTGTGCTAACAAGCCAGCACTAGGTTCTATTGTAAGGTTTCTTTTCCGATGCCAGACTCACCTTGGCAACTACCCCTGCCACTCACCTGAGTCCCAAGAGTTACTCATACTGGTTGGAACGAATTCATAGTCTGTTCCAACAACGGCTACAATTGACTCTCAAACACGAACGTTGTAAGAAGCGTGTCTTTGATTAAAATCTCCAGCTCTCCTAGGTATAAACACCATAAGAGGGTAAGTCATGTGTGGTTTTCTTTCTCTGCCTTCAGAACCAGTTATTAAAAAGTACACCAAAATCATAGACGGGGTTCCTGTTGAAATAACTGAAAAACAGACCAGGGAAGAGCGAATCATTACAGGTAATTTTTAATTCCATAGGTGCGCTGTACTCGTTATAAACACAAATTATACAAACCCTAAAATATGTGCATTATATAAACTTAATCTTTATCATAGTGACTATTAAAATAACTCTGTTTCTCATTTTCTTTTTGCAAAAAATATATAATATTCTAAATACATTACCTATTTTTAACTCTAAAACTTTTTAGTAGATATGTCCATAAACATGCATTTTTACACTGTGTTTACGTATATGCTTTATGATATTCTGCCTCTAGCTTACAGTTTACTAAATTATTGAGTAATAAGAAGAATTTTCTTTGAGGTTCCATAAATGTTAAAATCTATACTCTACATACTAAGATTATGAGTCTATCTAAAAGAATTGACGAATTCAGTAACTTTTATATGAGACTCGTGTCTATGAATTAACCTAAAATTTTAAATTTAACACCTTATATATTTTATACTTAAACATTCTGCAGACACAGTCTGTGCCTCATATTTTAAAATAAACTTCACTGGGGCATAGCCACTTCCGTCATTGGCATAGCACCTCTGCCTGCGCTTCCTAGGTTGCTGCGTGGCTGCAGCCCACACCACGTGGTCCGGATTCTTTTCTGCCTTTACAAAAGGAGTTTGCACACTCTTGTTTCTTTCCTTTAGGTCCTGAGGTAAAATACACCAGGATTTCTACAGGAGGCGATGAAACAGGCGAGTCGCTGCAGAAATTCCTCCAGAAAGGTCAGTAGGTCTGGGAACGCAAGAGTGTGGCGTTCCGCACTTGTCCCATTGGCTAATGTCAGCTTGAAGGCCTTGAACACGCTCTCCACACCACCTTGCTCCAATGCTCATATTCCACACCAGCATAAGGCGTTTGTCCAAAACGGGAGACAATGCCGATAACGGTAACCGTGCAGATCGTTTGCTGGTACCCTGATTAACAGCTGGCGAAAACACTACCAAAAGCCAGCACCAAAACCTTAAAAGGAGCTGAGAGGTGGTCTGGAGTTCTTTATTGGGCAGATAGCAGGATGTACCGTGTCAAATTCCTTTTCATTGAGTGAACCAATTTCTGCTGTGAACGTGTGTCCTCTCAGAGGTCTCCAAGGTCACAAAGTTCATTGAAGGTGGCGATGGTCACTTATTTGAAGACGAGGATATTAAAAGGCTGCTCCAGGGAGGTTAGTAAAACACCAACAACTAACCCGTAACAGGCGGCGGAGGAGGGCGTCCGCTTTTTAAAGACTGGGTGTGCAGGCCGTTCCTTTGATTAGAAGAAAAAGACAGCGCAGTGAGCTGTCTTCAGCCTGTTGACTGGTGTGCGTAAGTGGTCCTTCCCCAAAGTGATTGCTGGCTAACCAGTCTTTAAAAAGTTTCATGGTATCCACTGGGGAGCAATGAATACTGTTTTGCCTTCACACAGAAAATTGGGCAGATATTTTTATGATGTAAAAGGCGAATGATTTTGCTGACTGAGAAGCCTAAATTTGAAAATGCGTTTCGTGTTTCCAAAAAACGTATTCAATGTCCCCGTGACAAAGACAGGCATGTCTGGGAAGTTTGTAGGTGCATAGTTAAACGTAAACAGTGCTTTTAGTGACTTGCATTTCCAAAACTGCATTCTCACGAATGAATATGCATTTCTGCTTACTGTTTCAGTGATAATCTGTCCTCAGGATGATATATTCTTCAGCATATAAAATTAATCTTTGAAATATGGAATGTTCTTGGTCTTTGGACTGACTTTCAAAAGAAAAAAAAAGGATTCAAAATATACAAACGCTCTCTCAGTGATGGTCATTCAAACAAACAAAAATAAGAAAGGATTTTAAAGTTGTTTAGCTCATTGACACCTAAAAAAAGGCAATTTTAGTTCAATGTACTAAAGCTAAAATGTAAGACTAAATATGATTCAGAGTATAAGAGTTCAGAGTACAACAAATATGCTCTTTGCAATACATTACAAATCAGGAAAGACACCTGAAATTTGATGTTAATCTAAAACCCAGTTCAGATGGCTTTCTGCTTGTAATTTTTTTTTTTAATTTTATTGCTATGTCTACGAAAATATAGCTCCTCTGAAGATCTTGTGTGTTTCTGGAAGTGATTTTTGCTTATTTGAATACAGATAACACTTCTGGATTTGTGACAGTGATTCTTCACTCCAGCAACAATGTATTTTCTCTTCAGTATATATTCAGTATTTCTGAAAAAGTACAAGATTTTCTTCCAGAAGGCAGGGAGCCGATGGCATATTACTAAGTCATAACAAAACCAAACAGTCCTTGACAACAGAGTGCAGGGCTCACTAATTAACTCTCTGCCATAAAAACATAAAGGGCCTTGAAACGAGAGGGCATGGATTGTGAAATGTAAATTGAATTCTTTGTTTTTCTTTTTAACCTTTGCCATAGTCAGCAGCTTCGTAGAATGGCAATGCTTTTTAGAGAATTAATTAGAACCTTTCTCTACTTATATTGTTTCATTCCCATAGGCTTACACTGTGGGTAAGTATGTTTCCCTTCCTTTAATTAATAATACTCCCAAAGTTTCCTTTGAAATAGCACTTAAACAGTAAATATTTGGTTTTCCCTCCATGAATATATGTACGACTTTTCAAGAAAATGCTGTTTTCTCTTTAATTAAGAGAGCTATTTCTATTTCTTTCACTTCTCTGGATGTGAACTGCCAGCAGATCTATAGGGCATGGTTTTCAAAGAGTGCCATTTTAGATGGCTTAGCAAAGTATTTCTAAGGATTTTTCTTTTCTTAAAAAGAGGGCGTGGACTTGGGGAGATGACTCAGATGTAAAGAACATGTTCTGCTCTCTCACAGTACTGGGATTTGGTTCTCAGCACCCACAAAGTAGCCTTCAAGTGCCTGTAACTCCAGTTCCAGGAACTCTGGCACCCTCTTCTGGTTTCCACTGTCATTGCACACACTTGATGCATATAAATTCACACACAAGCACATACACATAAATAACAAATAAATGAATCTTTGTAGAGATTCACAACTTGCAATATAGTTACTAGTATGTGGCACTTAGCTGTAACAATTAGACTTCCTTTTCTACCTCTCTAAACATCAAGTTGCCACTGAGTCACAACCAGCCCTTTGACTTCAGGTATCTGTTTACCTCTCTGAGTCGCTTCCTAAAGCTCTTTCATTTTGAGATATATGAGGGCCTAGAGAGTAAACCCAGGCTTTTCACTTTATTATAACTTCCTCCTGAGATGTTTCTGAACCTAACTGAATTTGCTGATTTGGATGCTGCAATGGCAGAATAATGATAATTGGCAAATCTCATGGTCAGACACCACCAAATGTACGAAAGGGAACCTGAAAGCAGTTGTTCATTTGAAAAGGGGAGCCCAGGGATTCCTCTTCATCCTGAAACCAATTTGCAATTAAGAAGACTTAATAAGCTCACTACAAACCAAACCTTTTCTCAGTGTTTAAGGTTGCATCCATCTCATTGTGATGAGACTTCATAAACAATTATTTTATTATCAAATAAACCTGTAGCTAAAGAAAATGTCTATTTTACATGTAATGACATAGGCTTTGCTATTCAAGGACATTTCCCTCCTGTCATCCAATCTCAAAAGGTTCTCTGTGGTTCTGTGTTTAACTAGAGTGTCAACACAATACAGCAAATAGTTACCCGGAGAACTGACAGGCTGGGAATGTACTAAGACTGTAGCAAAGCTCATAAATTCTCTAAACTGTAGGTTTTCTCATTTGCTTGCTGTTGTACATCTGACACGATGCTTGCATCAATTTATAAAATTGAAAAAAAAATCCCCAAAAAAGAACATTGGCTTTCTTGCTGAATATTGATACTGTATAGAAAGCAAATAATATTTTAAAGAAAAGATGAAGGTAATCAGAAAAATGAAGTCTCCACAGGAACCAATCAGTCTTTAATCCCAAATACCTGCAAAATGAAGATAAAATGTAACCTTAGGCTTGCTAGATAGTCACAGCAGGAGTTATACTCAAAGGATTAGAGAATTACTTTTCAACTATAAAACAGAAGTCATAGGAACATGTGAAACTCTTAAATATGAAAATGCCAGGGCTAGAGAGAGGGCTCAGTGTCTAAGAACCTTGACTGCTCTTCCAGAGGATCTGGGTTTGAGACTGAGCACACACAAGATAGCCTAAAACGGTCTGTTGTAGGCCGAACAACTGAACTCTAGTTCAGTGGGTTCTTCATGCTCTGTTCTACAGACACTAGGCATACATGTGGCGCATAGACATCCATGCAGGTAAAGCACCCCTAGACATAAAGAAAAAATTAAAGAAAAAATGAAAAGTTTTATTATTTGTAGCTATTTAATATCTTAATGATTTCATAGAATGGGCCATAGAATTAGGGAGAGTGAACTTTGAAATTCTTCTAAATTACTTATCAGCCTATAATGAGAATGTAGGAATACATAAGACCTACAACAACTGAAATATGGGTAGCTTTCTTAGCTTAGCTTACCAAAAAGTCAGCAATATGAAAATCATTTATTCCATGCATAATTTGTACAAATGAAGAGACTCCAAAGACACAACACAGCACTGTGCTTTTGTGTGCATTCACGATGATGTGTGGGAGCAGATAACCTCTCAGTCAGTGCCAGATTCTTAGGACCAGTAAATTTAATCCTCCAGAACCCACACGTTTAAGCAATGGCTACTTATACTTTATACGTTGTCCTTGGCAATGGCCTCCTGATTTTTACCTGAAATCCCAAAACTATTCTAACTACAGATCTTTAATTTTAGACACACCTGAAAAGAAGATACAAAGCAGCAGCAGAAGGGTTCAAGGTAAGTGTATCAAATATACTGAAACATGTTTGACTTATTTTGCTGTGGTGTAAGTCACATAGTAGATGAAACTTTGACTGTAAGCCAACCCAGTATATAGAACATTGACAATAGCCCGGTGGTGGTGGTGCAAGCCTTTAATCTCAGCACTCGGGAGGCAGAGGCAGGCGGATCTCTGTGAGTTCGAGGCCCGCCTGGTCTACAAGAGCTAGTTCCAGGACAGGCTCCAAAGCCACAGAGAAACCCTGTCTCAAAAAAACAAAAAACAAAAAACAAAAAAAAAGAATATTGACACTAAGTAATTGCATAATGTTTTTGTTTTCCATTTTTTTATTTCCATATTTATCCATTTATTTTATTTCCAACTTTTATTGATTTCCTGTGGATTTCACATCATGCATTCTGGTTCTGCTTATCTCCCTGTCCCCTTGTTTCTTGGCCCATGCAACCTCCGCCCCCCCCCCCCCGCCAAAAAAAAAAAACACAAAATTTAAAAGAAAACCTGAAAACAAACCAAACAACAAAAGAAGAATCTTGTGAGGAAGCTGTAGTGTGGCCCATTGAGTCACTTAGTGGACCCTTTAGTCCATCTGTCTTTACTTGTAAGTGTTCATTCCTATGAGTCTTTGGTCTGATTCAAGGCCTCTGGCGGCTTCTTTACTAATATAACAGGCTCTCTCCGGAGCTCCTCTTGGGTATCCCATTGCTGTCCTAACACAGTAGAGATTCTGCTTAGATCTGTAGGTTCATACCCTTCGCTTGCTCCAACAGTTCAGAGATGAGGTGGATTTTGGGATGGACCAACTCATAGCTCTGGTTCTGGGTCTAGATGGGAGATGGGCTGACCAGTCCACCAGTTTTCACGCCTCACGATTGCCCAGGTGAGCTCCTCCACACTGCCTCAGATAACTCATCCAATGCAGCCTGCAGAAAGGAGCAGGGCCAGTTCCCCTGCTCTCCGGTCCTCAGACCTGGACCACTCCCTCAAACCACCAGGACCAGATCTACTGTTTTGTCCAGGCGAGGTGCAGGGCCCTCTCTTCCAACTGATGCAGGGGCTATGCAGGGGTACAAGCTCTCCTTCTCTCATGCCCTCAAGGCTGGCTCAACAGCACCTCTGAATTGTATGTTTTTAAATAAAAGATTTATCCTGACTTTCTTACGGGCATACTTCCATCTTCTAGAGACTCAAAATCATCAGTTTTATACCTTCATACACCTTTAATTAAGGCATAATGTTTTTCTCACAATAAAGATAGTATAGATCTAAATAACTCTTGTTACAAGGATCGCTTTGGACAGATTTGGGCACCAGACAGCCCGTTCTTACCGGTGAGGCTTTGGCACACTCCTATCTAACCCCTGTCATTTCCTTCTACTCAGGATCTAGAAGACGATCAAGGGAAGGCCGTTCCCAGTGACAATCCGGAGTTCAGACAGCAGAGGTTATGTAACCAACAACCTGATTTAAAGGGGAATTGTAAGAGCCACACTGATTTCAGAGTCCAAAATGCCAACAAGCACAAAAGATTCGTCGGGCAAGTCTGAACACAGATTTAATTCCTTTGTTTCTGAATGAGGAACATAAGGGAAACAGTAGTTAGTCTCCAGTGGGGTAGGGACTGAAAGACACATAGGACCATGCAGGGCTTTTATTATCTCAATGAGAAGAGTTCCGATTGACTTGGGAATCAACCGAAGATCAATCTAGTGGCCAGATCCATTACAGCTGTGTCTCCGCTCTGTGAGCTCTTACCTCCTTGAGAAGAGAGAGGCTGAATGTGCTTCACGGAAAAACCCAAAGCATACAGTTGACTGTCCATGGAAGGCTAAGCTGTCAAAAGGGGTGTTCGGTACACAACAAGCAAACCAACCAACCACGATACAACCTGTGGCGTTACATATTTCTCATGCAATGTGGGATTCCTGCTAAATTTTGTTAGTTTTACACTTGATTTATACTCTCGAGATGTTTGTCATATGCTTCTTGCAATACACGTGTTTTGTCTCAAACATTTCAATAAAACCATTTTTCAGGTATAAAGAGAGTTACTTCAAACTGGGTAACTCAGAAAACTCAAGGTTTAAGTTAAAAAATGAGTTTCAACTTTGGAATAGGACTCTTTACTCTTTTATTGTTAACAAGTACTCAATAAAGGAAATCAAATAAAATTAGTGTTGCTCAAAATTCTCAGAGTATTATGTGATATGAAAGATGGTTACACAATTGAATAATCATGAATTATCAATAATGTGTCTACTATAACTCTGGACCTGTGTTTAGTTGTCAAAATTTAGAAAGTTATCCTCCTCAAAAATTACTCATAATATAAAATAGGCTGAGATGAAGGAAACAGGCCATGGTACACATGACATCAATTAACAATTCCTGAGCGTGGTGCAATGTGAGTCCCAGATGCCCTTCAAGAAACTGACATTAACCAGAGCATCAACTGAGTGTCATAGAAGAGGAACCCACTGGTTTATGCAGAACCTGACATCAGTATCTAAAAAACAGTTTTGAGTCATGTGTGTGCATCCATGCAATACGCCTGTGCTCACTGTATGCAAATACACAGGTGTGATTATTTCAGATCTATGCGGCTAGGAATGAACAAGTAGCCTCTGTCTACATTCATACACATAAAATATAGAAGGCATTAAGAAATTCTAAATTAAAAATTAATCCAGAATTTTCCTTAATTTATCAGAACAATACATCAGAATGCTCTCCTTTATTTTAATAAGTCATGGCTAATACAACAAAACCAGGATTAAAAAGAAATACTACGGAAACCGCACCAAGATATGGAGAATGAACGTTGTCGGAAAATGGGTCATTGAGAAAATTAGAGAGGGAATTTAAAAGCTCCTAAATAATAATGAAAAGAACACATCTCCCCAGAACTATTGGGACATAGCCAAGGTAGTTCTGAGAGGGAAGTTCAGAGGCTACAAGTGTTTATATTAATCAGAAATACCTCAAATCAAAAGCAATGGACCTCCAAGTCCTAAGTAAATAAAAACAAGCTAAGACCCAGGGCATCAAAGTGCAGCAAAGAAATTCAAGGGAATCAAGGGCCAACAAGACAATGCATAGAATTGAGAAAATAAAGATTTCATTTTAAAAAACAAGACTGAAAAATCTCTAGTCATCAAAACAAAGAGACCCAAATTAATAAAATTAGACATAGAATGGGTAGTTAATATAAATCCTAATGAAACACAGAGAATCATTTGGTAGCACTTTGGAAACACATACTTAAATTTTTAAAAAAATATATAGGTGAAACCGATAAATTCCTAGACATATATGACATATCAAAATTAAATCAAGAACATATAAACAATTTACACATACCCATAATAGTCAACAAAATTAACATCATGTTAAAATTTTCCCAACAGTAAAAGCTCGACCGAAATCTATGCTTTACCCAGACTCTGGACTACCGGGATCAAACAACACAGCCACTGAATAGAGAGCCCAGGTCAGGGCAAACTCTGCAGGGAAAGTGAACCTGATTGTAAGAACCTGTGTCATCCTCCTTAACAAGAGTATGAAGCAGCAAGAGAGTTCAGTAGTTAAAGCCACCTGTCAGCAAGTCTAAGGGCCTGAGTTTGATCTCCAGGACCCATATGGTGGAAAGAGAGAGCCAGCTCTTGAAGATTGTCCTCTGACTTCCATATGCACCATTGTGTGCTTGTGTGAGCTCGCGTGCGCGCACACACACACACACACACACACACACACACACACACTACTAGTAAATTCAATACAGACAACTGAAGGAGATCAAGAGATACAAATTAGAAAAGAAGTCAAAGTATCGTTATTTTCAGATGATACAATAGTATACACAAGTGACCCTAAAAGTTCCACCAAGAAATTTCCCCAGCTGATGAACATTGCAGCAAAGTGACTGGATACAAGATTAGCTCAAAAATATCAGTAACTCTCCTATGTATAAATGATAAACTGACTGAGAAAGAAATCAAGGAAACAACATAAAATGTCTTTGGGTAACTGAAAGACTTTTATAATAAAAAAAAAACTTCAGGTCTTTGAAAAAAGAAACTGAAAGGGCTATCAAATGGAAAGATCTCCCCTCTCATGGAGCAGTAGGATTAGCATAGTAAAAATGGGCATCCTACCAAAAGCAATCTACAGCTTCAACAAAAACTCTGTCAGAATTCCAACAATTCTTTACAGATCTTAACAGAACAGTTCTCAGATTCATATGGGAAAAAAGCCTTAAGCAATCCTCACCAATGAAGGAACTGCTGGAGGTCTCACCATACTCGATTGCAAGTTTTTACTACAGGACTATAGCAATAAAAACCACAAGATATCAGACATATTGATCAATGGAAGAGAATTGAAGAACTAGACATAAATTCACACAACTATGGACCTGATTTTTTATTTTAAAAAAAATCTAGAAATACACACTGGAAAAAGGACAGCATCTTTAACAAACAGTGTTGGTCAAGTTAGATGTCAGCATGTAGAAGAATCTAAATAGATATATACTTATCACCTTGCACAAAAGTCCAAGTGGATCAAAGACCTCAACATAAATTCAGATACACCAAACCTGATAAAGGAGAAAGTGGGGAACCGTCTTGAACCCATTGGCACAGGAGACAACTTTCTGAACAGAACACTGATAGTGCAGACACTAAGACCAACAAAAATAAACAGGGCCTCATGAAACTGGAAAGCTTCTGTAAAGCAAAAGACACTGTCAATAGGACAAAATGGCAGCTTACAGAACGGGAAAAGATCTTCATCAACTCTACATCTAATTAATTCAAAATATATAAATAACTCAATAATCTGTACATCCAAAAGCCCCCAAATAATCCAATTTAAATATGGAATACAGATCTAAACAAAGAATCCTCAACAGAGGAATCTCAAATGGCTGAGAAACCACTCTTGTGCACATAGCCAAAGGACATTCCATTCTACCACAAGAACATTTGTTCAACTATGTTCTTTGTGACTTTTTTTTTCATAATAGCCAGAAACTGGAAGCAACCTAGATGTCCCTCAACGAATGAATAGTTAAGCAAAATATGGTGTATTTATACAAAGGAGTATTACTCTGCTATTAAAGAAGTGCCATCATTATATTTGCAGGCAAATAGATGCAACTAGAAAAAAATCACCCCAAGTGAGGCAACCTTGACCCAGAAAGGCAAATATGGTATGTATTCACTTCTAAGTGGATATCAGCTATTAGGCAAATGATAATCAAGCTACAGTCCACAGACCCAGGGGGGGTTAGGTAAAGAGGAGGTGTATGGAGGGAATCATGGATCTTCCTGGGAAAGGGCCATAGAACAGATTTAGTGGTGGACTGGGGTGGGTACGGAAGTGGGAGGAATAAGGTGGGGAGAATGGAGGAAAAGAGTACAGGGAGATGGATGCATATGGAATTAGAGGACATTTGGGAGGTGGTCAGGAAACCTAGTGCAGTAGAAATTTCTTGGAATCCATAATGGTGACCCTAGTGAGGATTCCTATTAATGGAGGGTATAGAGTCTGAACTGGCCATCTTTTGTAGCCAGGCAACGCTTGAGTGGTGGGACTGGGTTACATCCGGCTGAGTTGTTGGCTGAGGAAGTCCTGTGGAGATCCCCAAGCAATGCAGGCTGATGGTAAGCAAGAGAATCACTCCCCAAAATTGGCAGTGGGACTCCATTGCTGAAGGCAACATCCACACAGCTCAGTGAACGTAGAGAGGTCAAGTTGGTGTGGGCATGGACTCTTCATCCCTATGTTCTAGCCTTTTTGGCATGAGAAAGCACTCTGCAGGGTATGCAAAGAGAAACCTGGACACCAACACAGCTCCAAAACCCTATACTTATCATCTGTCCTGCTTGCAAGATGTGCTGGGGTGCAGAACTTGTGAGAGTGGCCAACCAAAGTTTGATTTAACTTGAGACCCACACCATGAGAAGGACCCAATGCCTTACCCTACCTGGATGGCCAGGAACTGGAGGATGGACAGCCCAGGGACCTAGGGCAGAGCAAAACACAACTGGCAAAGAAAAAATACAATAAAGTGATTCCTGCTACACTCATAGATTCATAGATTGGTGCCTTGTTCAATCATCACCTGAGAGGCTACCTCTGGCAGCAGATGGGACCTAGGTGCAGAGACCCATAGCCAGACATTACACAGAGAATAAGAGGTAAAGACAGGAGATAGAGGATGAGGGAGAGGGGGAAGGAACCAGGGAGAGGAGGAAGGGCTATTTGTCCCAAAGGGACAGAGAGGAGACAGGTGAGGCACAGGGGAAACTGGCAGTTATAAAGGTAAAGGGGAAAACCCCATGTTAGAATGAGGTGTGTAATTTTAATCGGGCATTCTAGTTAGGTGAGACAAAGAGGGCTTTTGATTGTTGGACTTCAGTATTTTGATAACTGGACCTTAGTAGTCAACCTCAGGAGAAGGAAGTGGTCAAATAATGGAACAGACCTTGGGGACTAGTTTTAGGAATGTGATCTAACAGTTTTTAGCAAGGAAGGGGGAATGAGGGAGAAGGGCAAGGCCTGCCAGAGCCTTGCTCCAGTGAGCTAGTGTCCCGTCAGAGTGGATCTGAGGGAGAGGGGAGGAGGTGGGGGATGCCAGGAGGAGTGGAAGGAAGGAAGGCTGCCATCGGACTGGATCAGATGAGACAAGAACCTATTAGCAATCTTTTTTTTTTTCTTCACCTTAACATGCCTTTGCTCACGGTGAGTTCAGGAAGGGGACAGCTTCAATTCTGGGCCCCATTCTTGAATTTCTTTTCACCAAGCTCCTACATCATTTGCCCTAGAAAATTCCCGTTTCAGTTTTTGTTTCTGATTTCTATGCTTAGTCAGTCACATAGCGCATGGCTTTGGAGTTGAAGTTCCTTCTGTATATGCTGGCACCGGGAAGCCGTGCTTCGCCAAAGGGGATTAGACTGTGATAACAGAAATTGGAAGAGGTATCCTTATGGGTCAGGCAGGCCACCGCTGTGACAAAAGAGCAAACTCTGAACAGGAAAGACTCTCTACTGGGTCATCTGAACAGGAAAGACACTCTGATGGGTCATCTGAACAGGAAAGACACTCTACCGGGTCATCCACTTCCTCCTGTGCTGCTTTGAATATAGTAACACACCACAGAGATCTCCATACTGATGCCACCT